CCCCCCCCGAAGCTGGGAATGAGGGGACGTGGATGGACCACTTGATGATTCCTTGTTCTGTTCATTTTCTGTGGGGCACTTGTCATTGGCCACTGTCAGAAGACAAGTCACAGAGGGGTAGCTGAGTTAGTCTGTTTCATTAAAAACCATGAGGAATCCACGTGGCACTTTAAAGATTAGCAAATGTATTTGGGAATTAGCTTTTGTGGGCTGAAGCCCACTTCATCAGATACATGAAGCAAAAACTACAGTTTGGCAGGGATGCATACAGATAGGAATTTGGCGTGATCCTCTTTTGCCTCTTCTATAAGATCACATACAAAATATGTGTGTGTACATAGTGTGATGCTTTTTCTACCATAGATGCTATTCATACATTGGGCAGAGTGATGTGCCATTAACAGAAGAGGCAAACTGAGGGAAACTGGAGAGCTGGATGTACACATTTTGCTATCGATCTCATTCCCTTTTTGGTTAGAAAAATGTTGGATGACATCACTACTGTCCCTGCTCTTTTCTTCTGTGTTCTTCTCAGCTGATAGATTTTATTCTAGTGGCCTGACTGACCCACCTTTATCTTACCTCAGTCTTGGTTTCATGAAGGAACCAATTTAGTGTTTTGTAGGAGGGGTTCCTTTTGGGATTCAATGGGAATGTCTCCATTTTTGTTTACGTGACTGGAGAGAGCTGTAGGCCAGAAGGGAGGGGAGCTGAGGTGAAGTGAGCTCTCGAAACATCTTTAGTTTCAGTTTTTCTCTGACTACTCATCAGGCTTTTTCTGTCAACGAACCATTTCCTGGTTTTGTCTCTCCTCTCACAAGTTGCTCAGAGCTGAGAAGGGGACACCATGGAGAAAGCAGCGAGCAATTGCTTACTTGACATACTTGAAGACCTGACAAAGGACGAACTCAAGAAATTCAAGTTCAAACTGAACAAATTTAAGCTGAAGGACGGCTATAACAATATCCCCATGAGTGCATTAGAAAAAGCATCAGCTGTGGAAATAACTCAAGCCCTACTCAGCTACTATGGAGAAGACTATGGGCGGGAAGTGGATGTGCTGAAATCCATCAACAGGAGAGATCTGGTGGGGAAACTCTCTGTGACAAGACCTGGTAAGCACAATGTATGCAAGGAGTGTGCATTCTGTGTGCATGTGTGTTGTGTGTGTCTAACTCTTTGTTTACAGTTTGGGTGATTGCCACCATCTTGATGGACATGGTGGGGACTGATCCATTCCTTTGCAGCACTAAAAGCATGAGCTGCTAAAGCTTCATAAAATGAGGCTGTACCAGACTTGCCTGGGGATCAGGCGGAGAGGGGAGATGTGTAACATACATATTGACTTATGAGCTACACTGACACTATGCTCAGCCCTCTACACTGAACAGACAGGCAGAGATAATTCTACCCCAAAAAGTTTGACAGAGAGAGAACATTTCCCAGCTAGCACCGGAGCAGTACTTGAAATAACTGAAGAGAAGAGAAATCTCCCAGATAGTAACCTGTCAGTCTTTACTCAGCTTTTCATGCTATTCAGAGCCAAGTTTCATTCACCATTTTTTGACTTCACTTATGGGCTCCAGTTATGCCTCCAAAGATTTGCAGGTGCTTGACTTTACACACGATGATCTATACTCAGAGGAGAACCCCTGCTGCAAACCCTTGCAACTGTACCATTAGGATTATAATGGTTTGTGTTTTTCATAATGCTCCTGCTTCTTGAGTCCTGTGATTATATGAGAATCTCAGCTTTGGTTTAAAATAAAAAAGTACAGTTCTAGTTCTCATGACTGCAAAGAAAAACTTTAAAACGTCATCCTAAATACTCAAAAAAGCCATTAAAACTCCAATTTTTTTTAATCTTTCGCTTTTAAGGCAATGATGATTTTTACGGCTCTTTGACTCAGTTTGAGAATGTTTTCATTTGGCAATATTGCTGTGCTTAGCGCATGCTTAACTTTAAGGACTTATTGACATCCATTTGACTGCAGCAACATGACATTCAGAACTGTACTTTTTTATTTTAAACCGAAGCGGAGATTCTCATATAATCACAGGACTCAAGAAGCAGGAGCATTACATAAGAACATAAGAACATTATGTTCTTATGTTCTTATGTGATAGCAATATCTTTGCTTTCAAATTCAGTAACTGTTAATAGACAAACCTTTGAAGGAAAACTGTATCATCCTCATTAAGGACTGGAGGACACTTTTTACAGGAATAAATGTAATTGCATGAGATAATTTAATTCCTCTGGATTTCTTGATTAAGAGAGAGGCACATCCTGTGCATCGTAACTGTTTAAGAAGAGGTTGTAAACACCCTAATTTCAGTTTCCCATTTTCCAGTGTTGAGTGTGCACATTGACAAAGAGCCTGCAATATGAGGCTCTCTTTCGTAAGCACTCCCCTGTTTTGCACGGCGGCCGTTATGCTGGTCCTCCCCTTTGAGACAGGAGAAGCTGCTGTGTCCAGAATTCTGATCTCCGATGCAGCGGGGCTCGGGGAGCAAGATTTCCCTTTACTCCTGGAGAATCCCACCATGGGGACAGAGCTGAGGGTTGCATTGTAGTGGGAAGGGGTGTTGACAGGTTACCTGATAAGCATCACCCGGATGGGGCCAGCAGAGCCTTCCCCACATATTCGGCCCCCCAGGCTGTAAGTGGCCCCTTGCTCCCCCCCAGCCCTGTTTTATTAGATAACAGGTTAAATGTAATTTAAACCTACATCTAACTGGTTAACCATTTAAACAGCATTTTCCATCCCTTGTAGGGGGCAGTTGGTGGGATAATAACAATTGAATTGCTGTATTTGGAATGGGACCCATGAAACGAGGAGTTGAGAATTCTTCTCCCAGCAATCCCATAGGGTTTGTTTATTATTTTAAAAGGCAACTAGACTGACATTTCCTCGTTCCCACTTTGTTCTTAGGGATAAAATGGCCGATAGCCCATTAATATATAGGTAAGAGCTTAAATTATGGTCTCTGGTTAAGCTTTCCCCCAAAGGCGCTGCTGTCCAGTCGGAGCAGAGACACCAGGCCTAGCTGTGCCATAACAGAAAATAGGTGGCTCTAGGAAAGCAGGACGAGCATTGAAAACAACCCCTTCTCTTTATCACAAATGAAATAAGCTGGCAGCATAACACCAAATGGAGAGCAATGACTGGCGATCATTATCATGAGTCTCTCACACCCACAAGATTACGGCTCTGCAAGGTGCCTCACAGTCTGCCTGGGAAGAGGGCAAACAGCTGCCTCCCAAGGCCAACCAGGAACTCAGAAAAGACTGTAAGATAACACTCCCCCTAAGAATTCAAACTCGCAGACCGACCAAAGGTACACTATAAACATGTGTTTGCTGTGTGCCTTACATTGTCTTTTTGTCTTATACTCCAAACACCTTTGAACCGCACCACGCCCTGCATCTGTCGGGAAAGCGCCATCTTCACTCCTATGGATTCCAATTGGAATGTAGCTTGTGCATTGCAGGGTGGTTCTCAGGAGAGTGGAGGGAGGGAGGAAACTTGTGTTTTAGCAACTATGTTAACCTGAGCTATGGGCAGAGCTACTATGTAATCTCATGGGCCGTGTCCAGACTCAGGGGTTTTTTTGGGAAAAGTAGCCTTTTCCCGAAAAAACTTCCCCTGCGTCCAGACTTAAGCTGCGTTCTTTCGAAATTATTTCGAAAGAACGCGGCTTTTCTTTCGATGGCGGTAAACCTCGTTTCACGAGGAAGAACGCCTTCCTTCGAAAGTTCCTCTTTCGAAGGAAGGCGTTCTTCAATGTAAAGAGGCCGTCTTCGAAAGAGAGCATCCAGACTCGCTGGGTGCTCTCTTTCGAAAAAGCGGATTTCGCCTGCAGTCTAGACGCGATCTTTTGAAAGAGGCTCTTTCGAAAGATGCTTTCGAAAGAGCCTCTTTCGAAAGAAGCCTGCAGTCTAGACATAGCCTTACACTATTGGCTTATTGTGCTCATTATGTTCTGCTGCCAGAACCTATCCAGGGGCTCGGGAACTCCCACACCATTGCTTCTCTCCACCTATTGGCTCCCCATATAATCTATCGTAACCAATTGCTTAGCAGTGTTCACTGAGCCCAAATAGCAAGATAGCACTCTGCCAGCACTGTGCGTAATAAACCCTCCATGCGTGAATCTACATGGTGTCTACATTTTGGTTTCCAACGGGACCTTTCCAAAAGAGATCTTTGTGTCCCTGCTCCGACTGGACAGCAGGGCCTCGGGGGGAAAGCTTAACCTGAGATCATAATTTAAAGTCTTTTCTATAAATTAATGGGCTATTGGTCATTTTATCCCTACAGTTCCTATTCACTTGTGATGGAAGGAAACTCAATAGGTCTCCATCAATTTGTAAAGTAACTAGAACTCGTTGCATTCCAATAATCTCTCTTCTTATTTGTTTCCCTTGTTAGATGGTTTAACTCTCATGCCAGAACCTCAGCAAGCCCCGAACGCAGGGGACAAAGACCTTCCCAAAGGTATTTCCTCCTTTAGCCTTTTGATTTCACCTTTTTTTGAGCCCTTCTAATTAATCAAATGCAACACGGCTACATTTGGAACCCTGAGCCAGCCTATGGAGCAGCTGTTCTAGAAACTCTGAACATTCCTGGGGGCACCAGGGCTGCGAGGCACCTCGCTACCAGCAGCTCTCAGTGTGCGGAAGTTGTGTCTGTGCCTGCCAGCAGCCAGTTCCCAGGCACCACCAGCCATGGGCAACACCAATACTCCCTTCTCAGCCTAAGATCTGCTGTACCTCTGCAGATTAGCAACAGAAACAAACTAGCCCCTGAGGCTTCTAAGCATTTGTCTTTAGTGTCCAGCTTCTGATCCCCTCCACTCACAGAATTCCAGAACCTCTGCCCCCAAAGCACAGACCACCCCACTTTGTTAAATAAATTTGAACTGCCTTTCTGCAGTTCTTCTTCCTAGACAGTCGCTTCCCATTCTTTGTATGTGAAAATGAAAAGTTCACTCAAAATCCCTCTAGCATATTACAGTCAGGGCTTGCCTGTGGTCTGCTGTTCATTAAGCAAGTTCATGGTAAGTTGACTTCCTTCATGCAAAATATTGTGCGTGCATTCTCCTCATATACCAGATACATGATGTGACCTTAGAAATCAATCAGACACCATCTCCCTGTAGATCGTGTGGTCATTTCCTGACATTCAACCTGGATTAGCTGGTGATGCCATATGCAAATAGACTTCCAATGTGACAGAATGGTCAGCCAGGGTCTCCTATCCCTGGTCTACAGAATATTCATCTACTAACCACCTGACTTTCCCAAAATGCTGACTAGGCAAAGCCAAACAGTTACAGGGTTGCCTACGTCCCACAAAAATCCCTTTTCCTTTCAGAAACCCCTTCTGCTGTGGGCTTTGGAGTGAAATCAGAGGAACATTGCTCACCTGCAAAACTCCAATGGTCAGCAATTGGACCAACTTTCTCAGCATTCAACACCATTAATTTTTTCATTTTTAATAACCCTTCCCTACCTTCCCAAGGCTCAGCTCTCATGTAATTTAGTTTCCTCCTCCACAGTCCCTCAGACCGATGTGGGAGTGTCCGCACTGACAGCGTTAGCTTTTGCACTCACAGTTTCTCATTGCCATTCATGGAGAGATTATAGGTGCATACTGTGGGATGTTTTAAGTCATGAGCAATTCAGCTTTATATGGGCAGAGGTTCCACAGGGGTTTCAAAGAACCAGCTTCCCCTTGGGTAGGAGATTTTAACATCTGGGCTCCCTTCAGGTTTATTTGTTTGTTTAATGAAGTTGGGACGAGGGCTATTCTGAACCCTTCATGACTTTTAAACAGGTAGAGGAACTGCTCTACCCTGGGTTTGTCCCCTTCACAAGCTACAAATTGTCCCCTCTGCTCCTTACCTCTCTCTATTAATTTTTAAGGCATCTATCAGACTTCCATGGGCATTTCATTCACAATACTTATCGACCTCTATTGTAAGACACAACACACAATATTCCACCAGTGTCTCCCGTCTTATTATCGAATACTCATAGAATACTAGGACTGGAAGGGACATCAAGAAGTCATCGAGTCCAGTCCCCTGCCCTCAAATCGATGTGGGAGTGTCTTCTGTCTGTGGACATTTGTCTCCAGGCACACGACCTTTGAATTACTTAGCCATAATGAGGTGGGAGTACTGCATCCACTATGATGAATGCATAGTCTCCAACCCTGCACCCCCATCCTCAGCCAGATATGACTCTCTGCAAGTAGAACAGAAAGTTTATTGGTTCACAGGGACACAGCGTAGCTCAGACTTCTTGTTACAGGAACCAGGAGCAATCAGTACAATCCATCTTGGGGAAAGGGGGGCCCACAGCTCCATCCCCCCAGGCCAGCTAGGCTCCATTCTCCCCAAGCCAGCAGAAAAAACTCACTCACAATCCCAGTCACTGCTCCCAGTCCCCACGCCACCCAACCCCATCTCCTGCTTTGTCCTGTTGTCAGGCCCAAGGTGTTATCTGCCCTCTCCTGGGCCTCAGGATATGAGAGACAGAACATACTTCCCCAATGAGTCACGGCCAGCCTCCCCTGCCTCATGCATAGTGCTGCAGGGAAACTGAGGCACACACACAGGAACACAGTCACTGCAGAGCAGCACAGGACAATAGGAATCACACACAGCACAACAAAGCAAACAGTGAATGCAAAGCCAGAGTGAACACAGTGGACCACAAGGGTGGGCAAAATCCCCACTATGTCACAGGGGGCCAGAGTGTTGCTGCCCTCAGCCCCTGCCCTCCCAGTGCTCTGGGCTGGGGATGCTGGGGCCACACACCACCTGCCCTCCCTATGCTCCAGAGCAGGGCAGCTGGGGCTACGTGTGAGCACCACTCACCCTCATTCTCTCCCTGGGCCGGAGGGAGGTGTTTGCATGTGGTGTGCTGCCCCACTCCCTGTGGTTGGGGAGCCATGGGTGGGGCTGAGGGCCTAGCCAGAATCAATATGGCTGCGCCCCCTCCCCGGGGCGGGGGGGCTCGCCACGCACT